ACAATTTCTGTAATAGGGCGAGTATTTTAATATACAGAAAATAGAATACAAAATAGCATTACTTTGAGACGTTATATACGAAAAGTCTTAAAACTGCCTGTGCGAAAAAAAAACCACTTCTTTCAACCCAAACTTTTGTATTAGTAAAAAATCTCATGCAAATATCTGCACATGTTAACAGATTTAGTATCAGTTTAGGGAAGTCGGATATGATAAATCCTGTAAGACAACTCCACTCGGATTCACTTCGAGGGAGGAGTTATATCGGAGTGATAACTCCGGAGTGAGTTACCCATCTCTAATATATATATATATATATATATATATATATATATATATATATATAATATCTAATAATAATATCAATATTGTCATTATGGATTTACTCTAGGGCCGATTCGTAGACGCTCGTAGCAGCTGCGTAGTCGTTCTCCCGTTTCAGCTGCTCGGCTAACAAACTGTAAGATTGTATTTGTCTTCCGTTTTGTGCAGCACGGCGTAGATAATGCAGAGCTTCATGTCTGGAACCCACTGCACCGCGTAACATGCACTCCGCTAAAATTGATGAGAGTTTAGAGATAAAACGGAGATTGTCTTATATGAATCCGTAGAATGTATGCATATATGTATACTAGAAGTAGATTGATATAATCTTTTATAACTGTGCATAGAAAATATTTTTATTATATCTGTGTGTATCTTGATAATTCCTTCGACGTTGATAAATGTATTTGATATGTAGCACTATGACGTAGATATACACTAGGGAATGCAATACCGATGGAAAATTTCAATACCGGTATTTCGGTAATTTTTCATTTTAAAACCGGAATACCGGTAAATATAATATTTAGTAATTATCATAATTATTGGGTATAAAGTTAAAAAAAATAAAGATTACGCAGGGGTAATCTGTATGATATAAAATATTTTGACGCAAATATCGCTTAAAACCGTTACATTTTTACAAAAGATGAAACAAACATCATTATCTATCAGTCCAATTCTATTTATTGTAACACGATATGAAGCCCTTTGGAAAGCAATAAGTATTCAGTTTAATGACGAGTTGAGATAATATTTGACATTTGTTTATCTTATAGAATCACTTGAAGATATAGCTGTTTATGCAATTCTGGAGTTTAAAGATAAATTTGTTCCGAGAAATTTAAACTTTAGGGTATTATGTATCAAATAGCGCTTATGTAAAAATACCGAAAATACCGGTATTTTTGGAATGAAAACCGGTAAAAATACCGCCGAAAAATCGGGCGGTTTACCGGTAATTCGGTATACCGGTATACCGGTATTGCATTCCCTAATATACACCATGTGCTAAACTGCATGATGAAATCATCTAATTTACTTACTATTAAATTTACTACACGTACGAAAACATATCAGTACCTTATAACTGCAGTAATAGGATAGGATAATCATGATTATCCTAACAAGATATGTTCGCAAATAATGTGGATATATGCAAAGATATATAATTTTTTGCGAAAATAAAAAAGATTTGTAGCTATATATAATAATTTTGTAACATTCCACTTTCCATATGTTGAAATGAAATTGAAATATTTATATTGACAATTATTAGTTCGACACTTAAGGGGTATTCTAGTGTACAAATTCAAAAAAATCGATTTTTTTATTTCATATTTTTAAAGTTTAACTATCTAAGAATATGGGTACGAGAAGGTTTTCGAAAATTTGAATTATTTTTGGAGATATAGGCATTTTACTGACTCGGTCTCCATACTGGTTTGGCTTCACGCAAAACTTTAAATGCGTTTTTCTCAGAACAGATTTTCAGTACTGTTGACTAGATTTCTCGAGTTTTAATCGACCGATTCACTTGAAATAATCAGAGAGTCTTGTTTATAATAGACCTATCTTTAGCCCCAACTAGGATTGATTAACCCCAAATTCCAATTTTTACTATTTTTAAAAAATTCGAGAAACTCAAAAAAAACAGTAAAAAACACTGTTTTTCAAGCAGTCGCCAATTTGTTAAAAAAATTTTTTTTACTCATCGCTAGTTCAGGTGATTGCGACATCATTGTAAATTAATAATCTTTTTATTTTTTGCATTTCCGATGGCTAGGAGGGCTGAAATCATGTCAAGACTGAGGTGCCAATTTTTTGAGACCACCCACTTCATCAGCTGCCAGTTTTTACAATTTTCAACTTTTTTATTTTTTAATTTTTGTTTTGTATTTTAATAATATTAATAAACAAGTGGTAAAATAATAGATAGTGAAAACATCCATTGCTTTCTTTTATGACACTTTAAAAATGATCTAAAATTTATCGCTCTACACTAGAATACCCCCTTAATATGTTGTCATTATTCAGCAAATCGAAAATAAAATAGTATGCATACTCTTTGCAAAATATTGTTTTTGTTTTAACAAATTCTTTTGTTCATTCTTAATTTTTCTGTGACTAAGTATTTTTGATTTTCTGAATGATACATATCGATATTTAATGATGATAAGAGAATTATTAAGAGAGTCAAAAAAAGAATTATTATTTCAATTTATATTTGAATTTGACGAATTGACTGAAATACTATATATATATATATATATATATAATAATAATAATAATAATAATAATAATGCCTAGTACTGCCCTAGAGCAGATCCGTGAACTGAGGTAAACTCCAACTCGATTCGGGGAAGATCAGTAATTTCAATTGGAAACATTAAATTTACTAATAACGGTCAATTTATTAATTATATATTGATTATTAGTGTTTATTTTTCAGAATTGTTACTGTCTATAATCATTTTATGTCATTTAATCTTAGAAATCTATTCTTTTTATTCAAATCAAATGCATGTTTCTCATTGAAAATGTAATTAATTTAATTTTGAAATAACCCTAATTTTGTTTTTATTTAATAATTCGATGAATGCCTCGCAAAATCTATATTGTAAATACATACGAAGTTTTTTTTGAAAGACGTTGAAATATATTTGACGAATTAAGTAAAAATAATTACATATTGGTTGCATATGTTTTACGTTATTAATAGCACTCATTTATTTGTTTTTTGTTTACGTGGTTTTCAATCAAATTATAAGAGTGCATACACATATAATTTATATAATAATTTATATTTGTATGCATATAATATAATTACCTATATAGTGATAAATTTCCCAATCTGGTCTGGCGATCAGTGTTTCCGCCTCTTTATACGTTTCTAGAGATAAGTGATATCTTCCCAATAAAAATCTAATAATATGATTAAAAATTATTACAATTGTTATATAACAATTGTATCAAATATGTTATATTCTCATACAATGTTCTGGCAACTTGTTTGATGTTTTCAACGTTCTTGGAATTCAATTTGCTGCATTTTTGAAAACTGATGAGTGATTCTTGTAGTTTATTTTCTTCTCGTAGTATCAGACCCTTAAAATTCGAGCAATAAACCAGTTTATGTCTTTATGTATTTTTTATTATACTGCCTATTTTAAATAATCCATACAATCAAATCGCACCAATAAAATATCGGCACAAGTTGATTAATATATTTAAATATTATATGGTCGAAATGGTTATTTTTGTATATACCTGTATATAATAACAGTATTCACTTCGACAATCATTTTCTTTCAAAGTTTGTGCTATAATTTGCCGGCAAATGGTGAATTGTCGACGTACATATTTATCATACAAGAGCCATTCCAAGTTTTGCGTTGATTGTACTGCATAATTTTTATTAGCTATAAATATTTTTTTAATTTAAAACTGTGTATTATGTGTAGAATTATCTTTTTGGATTGTTTTTAAATATAATAAATAAAAGTTTAAAATGACGTTTTACATTTTTAAAAGGTTTCTTTATATTTTGTCTGATACCTTTCATAGTATACTCAGGCAATTTGGTCGTTTGCTTTCCGTTGCCAATAAATTTTTCCACCGTGTGCATTTATGATATTATTGGTAGATTCTTTATAATTAAATACTGGAGTATAAAATTTATATAATTATACAGAGTTCTTTTGCACTAAAGCTAATGAAGTACAAAAAAAGAATGTTATATGTTTACGATGTTTACTACAATAGGTTGCTAGGAAGCAGAGCATTACAAATACAGAACACACACACACACACACATATATATATATATATATATATATATATATATATATTAAATTAAAATATCAATGCTAGATATTTTATAATTAAATTGATTATAAATATTTGTATAATTTGTAAATACGATAATCAATTTCATTACATTTATATAGTTATCAAGATATTTCTTAAATAAATTTGAACAAAGCAACTCAAATCAAATAAAACTGCATTCCAGATTATAAAAGGTCATGAATCAATTCCAAATATCAATTAAACTCCACGTATGTTTATAAAAGCATGTAGAGAGAAGAAGCAAGATTCAATTACTGTTTTTGAACATGTTGCTGATAATACTTTTCCATTGCACTTTTGTTATAACTATTAATAATTGAAAGATATAAAAATTGCTAATTACGTAAAAGAGAAAAATTATATTAATATATTCTTGCGCAATTTGTTTATTTCGTCGATTTAAATTTGGCTCTCAATTTTTAAAGGATGGCGACCCTGCGAATCACAATTAAATCCAATATGACATCTCTATTATCAAATTTTGACATTTGTCGCGATAACCAATTGTAAATATTTTAATAATATTAATTTGTAACGAATGATTTTAAAAATGAAATTTAAGTTGAAAGTGTTTCTAAATTATCAAGAATAAATTAAATATGTTATTTTTATATAATATTTTATTAAAAATCATGTTAATAATAGGTAAATATTTACAATATAGAATATTGCTATTTTTAATTATATAAAATGTTCTTGGAGATTTCTTTTTTATTTTTTATTATTTAATAAATAGTGATGTTTATCTTTAAATTTTTTATTTTTAGCACTGTTTTGAGGTTAAAGAGAAAATGAGTGTTGCAGATGATAAAGCAAATCTTTCCCTTGGTGCTATGCTTAATAAAAATCAAAGACTTTTTCTTGGACTGTTTGTGTTACTGTTAGTAGATATTATATGGGTTTCGTCATCAGAGCTAACTAAAGTAAGAGATAACTATAAATGTTTATTAAATTAAACATTTGTTATCATGTATTAAACATTACTTTTGTTTTCAGTATATATATCATAACCAAGAGTATGAAAAACCATTTTTTTCTACATACTTAAAGACATCATTGTTTACATTCTATTTATTTGGTCTATGCCTATGGCCTCCATGGAGAGACTATTATACAAATGTAGATCCCTATAAAAGTCCTTCTTACTTATTGGTTTCTGAACCACATGATGATGAGAACTTTACAGTGGAAGACAATTCTCCAACAAGTTTAGGAGAACCTGTATTTGTTCCTGTTAAAACCCCTAATAGAGAAACATGTTCCGAAGATATGCATCAAGCGGATTGTACTTCCGACAGTGATGATGGAAGTATTAGAAGTGTTAGATTTAATAAATTAGCTGAGGTGAATAATAAATTCTTAAGTTGTGATATTTATTCTAAAATGGATTTACACTTGTTAGAAATGCTTTATTATTTATCTTAATTTATACTAATGCTTAAGGTACGGCAAATGCCTGATAATGGAGCAACAGAAGCATTATTGGCAAGATTATCTTACCACGCAAGTTTAAGGGCAAGCGAGGCTGCACGGCGGGCCGCAAATCGTTTGCCCACACAAAGAATAGCAAAAATTG